TTTTTTCTATTTATTTCCTGAGTGCAGTATGTGCAATTTTTCTTACAGTGTTAAATTGTTGATTTGATAGCATGCCTAAAAAGTAATGACTTGAAGTAACATTGTTTTCTTAAACAAATAAATGCCCTATTGTTGTGCTAACAATCTGTTTTCTGTCTTTGTATTAACAACTTCAAGTTTTGAGTACAGCTTACTTGAGAAATTTAAGGCAATCAGTTTCCACACATTTGTCTAGTAATGTGAACAAAGCAGACTTGTTAAGAGAACTGTTTTGAGTTCTGTGCACTAAGCTTAACTTAAATCTCTAAGTTGGCTGAACTTGTCAACACTCAAGTTTTCTGGTAACCTATACATATACACAAGTTACCTATACAAAGTTACAGTAAGTTTTATTAACTCAAAAATTATAAACTAATTTGCTTGAGAAATTTGAGGCAATCAGTTTCCACAGGTTTTCCAAGTAAGCTCAACTCATTACTTTTTACAGTGAAGGTGAATAAATAATGACAGAATGAACCCAGTTGCCAGTGGTGATATATTCACCATCATCTCACAATCTCAACATTAGTGTTTTCTGAAAACACTCAACTGAAGAGTGAGTATGTGATGATGCATAAGTGTGTGTGCATCATGGGTAACTGGCAGTAAAAGACAGGATATGTGGGCGGGTAGTCTGGTAAAGCAGGAAGGGAGGAGGCGAGCTGAAAATATCCTGGAAATAACGATAAAAAAGCTGTTGGTCTTTTGTTAGGAGTAAAACCTGCTCTTGGTTAGAGGTGTTTCTGTGTCCTGTGGAACATGATGACTTTACCAGTGTAAAATGAGCTCACATTAACTCAGAGATGATTAAACTCATACTGTCACACTCTGCTTTAAAGCAGGACTTATCAAACTGTTTGGTGAAAGAACATTAAAAAAATTAGTTGCTTACTTATACAATGTTCATTTAGATAACAAAATGGGACTGATTGCCATTCCCAGACACATTTTTCTGTCAGAGAGAGAGATTCTCCACTGATGGTTTAACCTAGACATACAAACCACAGCAACAACGCTCTCCATGTTAATACCACACGACCCTGAACCACTCACCAACCCAGCAACAATATTACATATAACACAGTAAACATTAAAGAAACGATTATCTTGATTTCATGCTGTAGTCATTGTTGGGAACTGCAGTTATTGTATGGTTCAGCTATATTTTACAGTCTGTAAAATGAGCAAATAAAAGGAAAAGGATATAGGAAAGGGAGGCTCAGAACTCAGCGCCACCCAATTTCACCAAGGTCCTGCCCCACTTATGAACCTGTACCCTGAGCCTTTGCCCCTGTCTGAAAAACCTGGTAATGCTTCAGATTACAGACCACAATTTACAGCGTAATACTGCATCGCCATGTCGTAATTACTGTGATTTCGAGACAACACGTAACATTCTACTTGGAGCTGATCACACCCTTGGACTTGAAACTATCGCACTATCAATGCCTAAACATAGCGCCTAATGAATCTGAGGTGGTCAGGTGGTAGTGGTACAAGTCGTAGCTCTGAAAATTCCCAGTTCACAAGTTGTAATTATGAGTTCTACAAGGACGTGAACACTTTTTACAAGTTGGTATCTCGTAATCATGGTAATTACGATATGGCTTGAAGTCATCACTCACAATAAAAATCAATGAGTTTCAAGATGCAACAACATTGCGCAGCATCTGGTTGTAGAAACTGCCTAAATTTAAATTCCTGAAGAAACTGGATAAACTTTCACAGGTAAGAATGTGTTGGTTTGTGTTTTTAATATCTATTAACTCAGTATTACAGGTTTTTAAACTAAAGTACCTTTCAAATGCCTTGTTTGCGAACGACTTCATCTTGTTGTATTGTGTTAGTTTAGCAAAAGCATGTTCTGAAGTCTACTGAAGATTATATATTATTCATACATGCGTATAACTACAGTTGCAGTGCAGATTCACCGGCATTGCTCTCCGATATTCACAGACCGGCGTTGACATTCCAATATGGCGGACGGCTTACGTATAGCGGTCCATAGAAACAGTTGGTAAGGAGGAATCTACCTATACATATCTATGAGTCATGCTGCATTCACGCAATGTTGTAATTACGCAATGTGATTTCGAGACAACACATGACGTTCTACTTGGAGCTGTTCACACCCTTGGACTCAGAACTATAACACTATCAATAAACATAGTGCCTAATGAATCTGAGGTGGTCAGGTGGTAGATCTGAACACAAAGCTGTACTGATATATGCTATGATATAGGCACACTCAGATGCAGACACACACAAAGGCTTGCCCTCTTCATTTGCTCTGTGTAACAAAAGGCTGATGTTAATGTTGAGAGACACAATGTTGGACCAGCACCAAATCACTTCCTGTCACCCGAGACAACCGCATAAAAGAGGGTACCAAGCAGACCAGAAATAATTCCTTATAATTAAATTTTGCACTAGTTAATTCAAATGAGCCCTTGCCCATCGTCCATCCAAAAACGCACATTGGGAGCCCCTGGCAGACAGCGCCCTCGGCCCTGTCAATTAATGGCCAGTGTGAGAAGACAAGTCCAGATTGTGGGTTCTGCTGATTAAAGGAACAGTTCACCCAAAAATAAACATCACCATTTACCCACAGTCATGTTACTCTAATATACAAACTCTGAAAAGCAAGGTTAAACAAATACATAATAATAAAAATGTTTTCATATGCTTCCTGGAGTCAATTTTCTATCACATAAATAAATAAATAAATAATGCACTTGGGTTTAGAATGATGTCAGAGACAGTAAATAACATAGATATGTATAGGTAGCTGCCACATTCAGTCGCTCCAGACACGTCGACGCGTCCGCCATCTTGGAACGGTCAATCTGTCATCACTCACAATAAAAATCAATGAGTTTCAAGATGCAACAACATTGCGCAGCATCTGGTTGTAGAAACTGCCTAAATTTAAATTCCTGAAGAAACTGGATAAACTTTCACAGGTAAGAATGTGTTGGTTTGTGTTTTTAATATCTATTAACTCAGTATTACAGGTTTTTAAACTAAAGTACCTTTCAAATGCCTTGTTTGCGAACGACTTCATCTTGTTGTATTGTGTTAGTTTAGCAAAAGCATGTTCTGAAGTCTACTGAAGATTATATATTATTCATACATGCGTATAACTACAGTTGCAGTGCAGATTCACCGGCATTGCTCTCCGATATTCACAGACCGGCGTTGACATTCCAATATGGCGGACGGCTTACGTATAGCGGTCCATAGAAACAGTTGGTAAGGAGGAATCTACCTATACATATCTATGAGTCATGCTGCATTCACGCAATGTTGTAATTACGCAATGTGATTTCGAGACAACACGTGACGTTCTACTTGGAGCTGTTCACACCCTTGGACTCAGAACTATAACACTATCAATAAACATAGTGCCTAATGAATCTGAGGTGGTCAGGTGGTACAAGCTGTAGCTCAGAAAACAAGTTGTAATTACAAGTTCTACGAGGACATGAACGCTTTTTACAAGTTGGTATCTGGTAATCACGGTAACTACGATATGTCGTGAACGCACCTTCAGATTTCGGTACGACTCCGGTTACTGAACAAGCTGAAAAGGTGCTAGAGAAGAGTGGATAAAAACGCTTTAAACAGAGACTGTCGATTTGATAAAATACACAGTTTATTCCTGACTTTCACTGTTTATTACAGGCTTTTAGGCTGTGTGTTTCATGCCGTCATTATGGTTTGGCCGTAGTGTTCATTTTTTCGTCAATGGAAACATGAACAAAATAACTTCTCAACTTTGTACTTAAACATAAGTTATTCAGTATTACAATTTTCAAAAGCAATTTGGTTTAACTGTAGCTATAAGCTATGTAACTATGGAGTTGTTGTTTTTCCTGCACTTTACATGGTTATATTTTTGTCAGTTTCTGGTGTAATAAATTTTCACCTTTTGATTTTTACCTGTTGCCTGTGTTACGGTTGTCATATTCTGTGTGATTTTAATTAGTAATAGTGATAGTAATTTTCGAACAAAACTTGAGTTAAATAAAACAGCCTACCATGTTGGGTTAGAAAAACTTGGCATGATGGAGATATTACCTGGTATGTATGTACGTATTACCTACTGTACTACACAACAATCGTTTAGGAGCAATTTGTTGTACTTACCCAGTAACTACATGGAACAAGGTGGTAACACTTCAGACACACACAGAACAAGAGTATATTTGCACAGTAATTATAGAGTTGTTGCAAAAATGTTGCAATAGTTTTAATTTATTTTGTTTGATGACCAAATTAAATCCTCTACCTTTTTGCTATAAAAAAACACATCAATTATACAGTATATATATATACACTGAGGTGTGAGTACACTGAGAAGTGCTGTATCATGTATTTTATTTTCTGTGAACAGCTGAAAAGAGGTAAGCTTGTTTTAAGCTGCATTACACCTTGATGGTATACAGTGTCATGCAAACTGAACATCAGAAGAATGTAATTGGTGATAGTGGTGTTGGGAAGTTGGAGAGTGAGGGATTGCTGGCCTGACCCGGAGCTGAGATTGACTGCAATACTTCTGTAAGGTAAGTAGACTATATGGTAAATTATAAATCAAAGCAGAAACTCATTAACTAATTTCCCTAGATTTCCAGTTTTGTTGTTTAGTAATCTCCATCATGTATCCTGTAATAATAGAATATGTGGTTATAAACACCTAGGCCTGTATGTATAATATAATGCCAATGTATTATTACAAAAAGTGTATGTTCTTGCTAAATTGCTCCCAGACGTAAGATTGTTGTTTAGCATAGTAAGTCATACATACCATGTAATATTAGAATAGGTACCCCTTAATTTCAAAATAATCATTTGTAATTTTACGTTGTTACACTTTTATTCCCCAAACTTTGCATATTGTTACCGTAGACCTACATGTACGCACTGTACAGGTACACTATTATTACAAAAAAGTATGCTGTAAATTCGGTTTACTAACGCTGTAAATTTCGGGCTGCAATCTAAAGCATTACCGAAAAACTACAGTAACTCAGCATATATAAAACATTCAGTATATCCACTGGTTTTAAAATGCTTCATAGAGCTAATTTGCAATTAATGCAACAAGTGCTATAAGTTAAAAATCAATAAAGAGGAGGGCCACACATTATATAAACCTCAATAAATTGGGCTAGTTTGGTCATAAGCTTTGAAGTACATGGTACCATCAATGCCAAGATTTCGAAGATCTCCAAAAATCTGCCGGAATGTCTCAGAAGAAAGTCTTTTCCATGGTTTCAGGTCAGTCATAATGGGGCTCATCCCATCAAGATTCCTTCCAAGAGCCTCGGGGTGTCATTGAGGGATCTGTAGGCAGCTCTAGCAACAGTCAACGTGAACGTGCACCAGTCAACCATTAGAAACTCCACAAATCGGGTCTACAAGGGAGGACAGCAAGGAAGAAGCTTCTGGTCTTGAAAAAGAAAGTCAAGGCATGACTGAAGTTTTCCTACATGTGGAACAGGAATTCTGGAACAATGTGTCCTGGTTCCAAACATCATGTTTGGCAAAAGCCAAACACTACAGTGGTTCCCATCATAAAGACAACTAAGGATTTCATATCATACAAAAAGATGCCTGAGGAGAACGTAAAGGCATCAGGAACAAATTTAAGATGAACCAGCAGATCCATAGAGCAATGATCTAGAAGAAAGTAATTAAGGGTTCTGGAATGGCCAAGTCAAAGTCCAGATCTCTATCAGGTTGAAATGCTGTGGATCGGGGGGACTTGAAGTGGGCTGTACATGAAAGAAACCCCTCCAATAAACACAGCTAAAGGAATTCTGCTTGGAGGATTTAGAAACCATTAGCAATTAATTACTTTTTTGAGTAACATGTAACATTAGCAAAAAAGTTTAAGCATAATAATATAAGTCTGACATAAGTCTGACAGAAGAGAAAAAAAGTTCATTCATCTTTACAGCCCAAAGATGCCCATGACAAGGAAATGAGAGTCAGAGAGGGTCAGTGATGGCTCTTATGAACACAGTGTTCAGCGTGGCTGCCAAGACTTCAGTGAAAAACACTTATATACAGCATGCCTACAGCCATTCACAGATACATCCTCTGGAATCTGTGTGAATGCAGGTGCTTTATCAAATCTGTCAGAACAATGTATTCCACCATATCAATGTGAACAAGAAGAACGGTACAAAGCAACCATAAATCACTGCATGCTATTGTGTAAAATATTCTCTATTTAAATAGAGAACACGAGAGCCCTCCTCTGGTTCATGACACTTCTGTTCAAGGGTTCAGATTCAGAAAACTAAAGCTATGAAGAAATGTAAGAGGACTTACCAGTTTGAACTGTAACGTTTAAGCGTATGCCATCTATCTCAGACATTATTCCAAACAAATAGGTAGCACCGGGAGTCAAACCCATCATCAGGCATGTATAATGGTTGGGACGCTTGATATCTTCAGAACATCTTGTGAAGTGAGAAGTATCATTCATAATGAAGCTACAGGATTTTCCAGGTGTTGTGAAATTAAATACACAATAATCCATATTAATACTCTCTGCAGTCACATTCACCAGACACCTGACAGCCTCCGTCGTTGTAAACTACAAACAAGAAATATACAACAGAAAATTAAAGAGGAACTGATATTGACCAGTAGTATAAAAATCAACTAATTTCCTTAGACAATGTGCACATAAACAAAATGTCAAATGTTTGCAAAGCCCCAAGTATTTGTCATAAATGGCCTATTTCTAAATTGAGACTGAGCGGCTGATGTTATGTGTTCACTGTAATTTCTTAATATTAGTGGTGTGGTTTAAACAGTGCAGCATGGTGATGCAATGCCAAGGCCATGTGTTCGATTCCCAGGGAATGCATGAACTGATAAAGTGCAAATGAATGCAATGTAAGTCATTTGGGATAAAAGTGCCAGCCAAATGCATAAATGTAAATGTAAACATGTTGAGAGGTGCACTGCCGTGACTCGTGTGAACGGCAGCACTGATTGTCCTGCAGTTTCTTACAGGTACAAGACAATCTCATGTGGTTTCTACTGAAGTTATGTAGTAACCAGCCATCCAAATTAGAGCTTGTAAATTTTGGTAGCAAAGTAGACATCAGAACGTTTGTACCTTGTCCTTTGATGGTGCATTTGCTGATTTTCCAAATTTCAAAACTACCTGAAACCTTGCTTTACTGAATTTGTCTGAATCATGTTAGCTGTTGCATTTGCAGAAATTCTTGACAGCATTAGACAAGACTGTAAGCAGATATACCATAGCAAAACTTCAAATCTGAGAGAATATAGGTAACATTTGATTGCTCACCTTTGCTGTGGAAGCCATGGTAGGAGTGACGGTAGATGGTGGAGGTGAGGTTCTTGTGCTCGGAGCAGCTGTGGTGGTGATGGTGGTTGTGGTTGTTTCTACAGTTGTAGCTGGAGCCACAGTAGTTGTGTAAGTAGCTGATGTGAACGCGTCTGTGTCCGGGGCAGGTGTAGATGTGTACGGGGCTGTAAGGGTGGTTGTTGCACTTGCTGTAGTTTTAGCAGAACTGGTGGCTGTATTTGGAGTAGCTCTAGTATCTGTATTAGGAAGAACTTCAGTAATTGCTCGGGTCGTTCTGGTTTTAAATGGCAACATAGTCTGAACATCTTTGATGATCTTTGTCGTGGTTGAGCTTTTGGTTGTGGCATTTGTCCATGCCCCATCTGTGTTTGACACTGGGACACTACTGGTTGAACTCTCAGTCAGTGTAGGATCTACATCACTGATGTTAGCTTCAGACGGTCCTGTATGAAAGTCTAAAATGGTCTGAGTTTCAGTGCTCCCATTAGAAGAACCTGAAGGCTCAGCGTCTGTTGGGGAGATAGTTAACTCTGTCTGAGAAGTCAGAGGGTTATGGGTCTGCTCCATAACATCTGAGGTCATCTCTGTCATGTCAACTCTATTCTGGGTGAAATTCTGAGGTACATGAGGAGTTCCCGTTACCATCAGAGCGGTGGAGGACACATCTGTAACATCACTCATCTCGTAGGGTGATTCTGTCTCAAGCGTTTGAGTGTAGTTCTCCTTAAAGTCTGTTTTGGCAGTAAATGTTATCAGATCACCAAGAGCAGTGGTAGCAGTGCGTTTAGTTCTGCTTCTGACTGTGTTACTGTGGTGGGTCACCGCTCTGCTTTGAGTAATGGCAGGGACTGTTAGAGTGGTCATTTCCCCTGTGGAAAAAACTGAAACCTGTTTCATTGGAAACTGTGTCATTGTTGAAACTGTGGACGGGCCTGTTGAAAAAAAGACTGATGTTACCTTTATGCAGCATGATGTGTTTTCACTGCAAGTGCGTTTCGAAAAATAAACTGTTGTGCATTTTTTAGATGGCTTTTTTATCATGAGTGCTTTATAATGGTGCAAAACTGGCAACCCAGGCTCACCTGGAAAATAAGGAAGTCACAACATTTCTACAAAATAATGTTATGTTGCTTCTTGCATGTTTCACAACACTTTCAAAGTGACATGTCCAGTAAGTGATGCTAAAAGTGGCTCCAACAAAGCTGTTGGTGTTTTACTGCCACAAATGCAAAGCAGTGAATTGTATGTACACAGTTTTGCAAAAATGTAGGGAGAGGCATATTTTTTCCTATGAACTTGTTGAAAACTAGATGTGGTTTAATAATATGAATAACCACCCTGGACAGCATAAATACATAGATTATAATACTTGTATATTGTGCGTTCATTAAGGTACTGTAACCTCAATGATGCATCACTCCTTGAAGCCCGTAATGCACCTGTGCTCAATCGATTCAACTTGATCGCTTACTGAAGATTTGTAGTTAAGACCAAAGTTTCGTAAATGATCCTGACATCACAAGCCATGTTACTTACTGTAACTAACTACAGTAATTTGAAATGATTGCATAACATTCAGATATGTTTCTTTGTACATTGATATTTTGGTCTAAATATTAGACCAATTAGACTACATGCTTGAGACATATTTTTCTACTAATGTTTTAAATCATGATAGATAAGCATACATATAGTAGTCTAATACTGTACTGTATTATATTGTAGGCCTATTCACTAATGCCAATCAAATCAACCCAAAGGCTAATTGCCAAGACAGATGTAAGTGGACATTTATGTGATGGCTAGACAGTCAGCTGACCTGTGGCAGGGCAGAGAGACTTGGACACCCGTCTCCCCTCAGAGTCCATCGTGATCATGGACCAGTTTGAATTCCTTTGCTCAAAGCAGACAACAGCCCGTTCACCCTGTTTTTTCAGGAACATCGGCATCTCTGCCAATCCAAAGATCCCTCGGTGGTTGTAGCACTTCCATGCCGGTGCAGTATCGCAGTCCCTGAGTTTGACCAGGCGAGTGTGGTGCGGGATGTTGGTGCTCTGATTGACCCACAGACATCTGGACATAAGTGTGTGATTGAGTCTCATGCTGCTGGTCCAGATCCACTGCTGAGACGGGTCACTCTCATCACACTTCCTCAGGACCACCACACTCTTGTGTGTGCTCAGACATAACCCTTTATTAGTGTGTGCGATCAGAAAACCACCTAGCGGAAAATAAATAGTTGTTTGCACGTGTTAGTTTGATGATCAGAGTAATCTGATAATAACATACAGATCAGACATTACAATCAATATCTCTGAATAAGAACACTGAGTAGGATTGTCATGGTTTCTTTGGACTTGCGAAGATAGTTTCTTTATTTTGAAGCAAGACTTTTGGCCACTGTATGGTAAAGAAAGTCTAAGGTGAGAAAGCCTTTCATAAACTCCACTCATGATAATTTCACACTTCACTTCAACAGCCAATATAGGACCTGATGTATGGGTGGAGAAAGCTGTAACTCGTTTCTGGATTTTTTCAGACACATTAGAAAAACCAATACAATCTGTTTTGCAGCATCTGAAGGATTGCAGGCCACAGTAGAAGTCAGAAAGTCTTCAGGGAGGCACATGGTCTCGTCTCGATGCAAGATAAGTTTGTCGCCTCACTGATACACACTCACAAAATAACACAGCCAAAAAAGCTAGCAAATGACAATTAGTGTTAGCTATTTGTATTAATCAGTGAAATCAGTTTTATAATCAATGTTAAAAGGACTGATAGATGAAGCTTCTTTGTGTTGAAAGTTAAAGTTTAAAATAATCATTTATCATACTTTATAATATACACCATTATTAACATACATTATATAATGCTACATGGATCAGTAATGAACACTCAATAAAATAATATAACAAAACATCCAAAATAAAAAAAACATGAACATTTGTAATATACGTAATAACAATGAATTTAATCCTGTTATTAATGTTATTAATGTATATACCGATAATGTTATTAATAAAATGTATTCTGAATGGTTATGAATACATATTTGATCAGTTCAGCGAACCTGCTATAGTTCCAATAACAGTTCATATAACTCAGGTTTTTGCTCAGATCGTCCCTAACCAACAAGATAGGAAAGCCAGTAAATAATCATAATATTAATACTCACTTAATGCATAAAAACGCTCCAGTGTTAATAAGGCAAGAAAGAGCATTTCCATGTTACTGGTTTGTAGGTTTCTCTGAACTCAAATGAGAGTTTGAGCGCTCAGGAGGAAATTCTCTTTCAGGGGAAGGAAAAGTCACTGACCGCCGTTTCCTTCTATTCAACAGTGTGAGGCTAGCGACAGTACAGTGATCCTTACACGCAAACACCTCAGAGGCTAGCCATGGCTAAATCAATACACTCATATATACTACTGATTTTTGTAATATTGGTATTACTGTGATATGTAGTTCCATCTGTGTGTAGGCAACTATTTTGCTTAGCATGTTTGAAACACTATACAAGATTAAGAAAGTTAATTACAGTTCATTACAGTTCAAGGCATGCCCAGATTTCTAGAAGGCCTATAAGAAGATCTTCAGATCATTTGGGATCTCTATTACTGAATGCCAGTCCTTCAGTGAGTAAGAGTCCATCAGGAAGTAAAATCACAGAACACACCCTCACTGCAGGACGTCGTCCACACCTCACTTTTTGTGGCACATCACAACACCCAGAAACTTTACTTTGCTGTCAGGGCAGGGCCAAATGAAATGCATCAAACAGCATTAAATATATTTAATTAATTACATGCAATAACTTTGAAAGCTAATATTATGCTCTATTTAACTATGTCCCAGGGTTATAAGGGCACAATTTTTTGATACCAGAAAAAAGCTGGATTGTTTAAGTTGGGTTGTTTTTGAGCGAGCATCAGTGGCGTTCCTGGTTTATTTGGGCAACAAAAGACATGATTAAAGGAAATTTAAAAAAAAAACATTTTAACTAATTTGTTAACTCTGCTCTCATTAGAGTTACAAATGACCTGCTCTTATCATCTGATCGTGGTTGTATTTCTCTATTAGTGTTACTGGATCTTAGCGCTGCGTTTGACACTATCAACCAGAGCCGGCCCGACCTAATAAGTGATGTAAGCGGCTGCATAGGGCCCCGTGGCCACCAGGGGTCCCCCTGTCAGGGTTCAGCTAGTAATGCTCTGTAATAATGACTTTGATAAAGTTTCAGTCGCGTGTGATAATGTTTGAAAATGAAGAGGCAGCACTATAAAACTGGTGCGGACTGCAGAAAAGTGGAAAAAGAGAAAAGAAAGTGAGCCAGATAAGGGTAAGTGATGGATTTTGAAAATATATTGTTGTAATCGCGGTTTGCATCATGCTGCGAGCGCTTTGAGGACGCGCTTTGAATGTAACAACAGTAATGAACATGAACGGTATTGTTGTCTTGGGCGCTTCAAACTACATGAATAATACTAGATATCTTATTATACGAATGGCTTAGATTTTTAGAAAGCACATGAGCTTATTTTCCATCGACCACTTAAAGCACTGTGCGTTTGCTGGGTGAAAGTTCGGTCATATTTTCTCATTGATCTGAACAAAGCAGCAAATGGGCTGAATAAAAATGCAGTTCACTCTCTGACAGCATGAGGCACTTTAGGAACAGCAGAAATACAGCCGTTACCATGGTTACCCCTCTACACACACACACACACACACACACACACACACACAGCAGTGCCGCACAACTCCTGACACCTGCTTGTTTGTCACAGAGGTCAAAGGAAGTCAGACAATATTTACATGTTTTCAAACAGCCATTCAGAATTGGTATTTATTAAATAACGTCAAATATTTAAATATGCCATATCTTTATTCAGACATTTGTTTACACTTATACATTTTTGCATTTTAATCAGGAATAAAACTACTACTACTACTAAATTATTCTCTTTAATTTTCATAACCCAGGTGTTCTTGCTTTATTAAAGCATTAATCTCACTAAATATTCATATATTTTTCTGAAAGCAACGGTTAACGATAGTTAAAAAATAGTAAAAATTTTTAAAAGTACTTAATACGAATCTACTCAGTATTTATCTTTCAATACATAAATATGAAGAAATGTTTACTTATTAAGAAATTTTTTACACCAGTGTTATTATAGTTAAGTAAAATTAAAAATACAAAAAAAATATTTTCGTTACTTGAAATAAAATAAATGTTAACTGAAATAAAATACTTAAACTCTTTTATTTTAGCTAGTTGACAAGGCAACATTTCCCATTTTCATTTAGTTTATCTTGATGTTCTAAAATAACTAAAACTAAATCTGAAATAAAATGTAATAACTATATAGACATTTGAAAACAACAAAACTAATAAAAACACCACAACATTCTTTTGAGTAGACTACAAAATTATGTTGGCATTAGTGGAATTGCATTGCTGTGGTTCAAATCTTACTTATCTGACCGTCATAAATTTGTAGCAGTGAATGAAGAGGTATCATATCGATCACAATTACAGTATGGAGTGCCACAAGGCTCAGTAGTATGACTGTTGCTTTTCACGCTTTACATGTTACCCTTGGAAGATATCATCAAGAAACAGTGTTAGCTTTCACTGTTATGCTGATGATACTCAGCTCTATATTTCCCTCTAGAATGAAACATACCAATTCGCAAAACTAACGGAATGCATAGTTGAACTGGATGACTAGTAATTTCCTACTGCTAGGAAAAAAAACTGGTTTTAATTATTGGACCAAAAACCTCCACATGTAATAACCTAAATCACTGTCTAACACTTGATGGCTGCTCTGTCAATTCTTCGTCATCAGTTAGGAATCTGGGTGTGCTATTTGATAGCCATGCTATTTGAAAACCATGTTTCTAGCATTTGTAAAACCGCATTTTTCCATCTTAAAAATATATCTAAATTACGACCTATGCTTTCGATGTTAAATGCAGAAAAGTTAATTCATGCGTTCATGACCTCAAGGTTAGATTATTGTAATGCTTTATTGGGTGGTTGTTCTGCGCGCTTAATAAACAAACTCCAGCTTGTCCAAAATGCAGCAGCTAGAGTTCTTACTAGAAGCAGGAAGTATGACCATATTAGCCCAGTTCTGTCAACACTGCACTGGCTCCCTATTGAACAACGAATACATTTTAAAATCTTGCAATTACTTATAAAGCCCTGAATGGTTTAGCTCCTCAATACATAAAACATTACTATCTTTCACATCTGCTCTGAAACTCTGGCCATTTGATAATACATAGAATATCATAATCAACTGCGGATGGCAGATCCTTTTCCTATTTAAGGCCCAAACTTTGAAACAATCTACATAGAAACATTTGAATCTACATTTGTTCGGGAGGCAGATACACACTGTGAGTTTAAATCTAGATTAAAGACCCATCTCTTTAACCTGGCTTACACATAACACACTAACACATTTCTAATACTCAAATCCGTTACAGGTTTGTTAGGCTGCATTAATTAGGACAACCGGAACCGGGAACACTTCCCACAACACCCGATGTACTTGCTACATCGTAAGAAGAATGGCATCTATGCTAATATTAGTCTGTTTCATTCTTATTCCGAGGTCACTGTAGCCACCAGATCCAGTCTGTATCCAGATCAGATGGTGGATCAGCACCTAGAGACGACCTCTACAGCCCTGAATGTCAGCGGAGACCATGTCAACTAGATGAGCCCCAGAGACAGATCTCTTGCAAAGACCTCGTCACCTCGACGACCACTGGCACAAGACCACGAGAACCAAACAAATCCACTGCACAGTCTGACTTGTGTTACAGCCTGGAATTAAACCACGCCATGCTGGTTTCTGTCACCGATGGAGTTTTGGTGCCTTGCCACTGTCGCCTTTGGCTTGCTTAGTTGGGGAAGCTTGACTGATTGCACAGACACTATTGGAGGAGAGCTGAACTGGATGATGACATCACTGAATCATTAATGAACTGAATTTAGCTGAAAAATTACTCTTTGTTATTGTCCTCTTGCATTATTGACAAAATATTTTCCTGACACTGTAAAGCTGCTTTGACACAATCAGTATTGTATTAAGCGCTAATAAAGGTAATAAACAAATAAAGGTAACCTGACTTGTAGTTTTTTTTAAGGATGCACTGATCCCACTTTTTTCCTGGTGTTGATTCTGCTATTGAACACGGGATCTCAGTCGATACCGAGTGCAGAGTTTGATTCTGTTTGCCTTGCTACTTTATGTGTAAAGAATCTTAAGAAAACTAATCATGACCTTCCAGAAAAGATCCAGATCACAGGAAACGCATTTACATTAGGAAGTAACCACATAATTCACTCATCACAGTATAACTATCTAGTTCTAAATATCATTTCCACTGGAAACTTTAACCATGCAGTGAATGAACCGAGAGAATAAGCACATAGGGCCTTTTATGCCATAAAATGGCAATGGCCGATAGAGATTCCTGATAGAATTTAGGTGAAAATATTAGAATCTGTCATCGAGTCAATTGCCCACTATGGCAGTGAGGTGTGGGGACCACTGACAAATCCAAATCAATAACTGACCAAATGGGATAATCATCCAATTGAAACCCTACAGTCATTGCCAAACGTTTTGGCAGTGACACAAATTTTGTGGTTTGCAATGTTTGCTGCTTCAGTATTTGTAGATTATTTTTCCACATGTTTCTATGGTATACTGAAAAACAATGATAAGCATATCATAAGTTTTAAAGGCTTTTATTGGCAAAAAAATATATAATGAGTCAATATTTACAGTGTTGACCCTTGTTCTTCATAACCTCTGCAATTCGCTCTGGCATGCTGGATATTAGCTTCTGAGCCAAATCCTGACTGATCCATTCTTGCCTTATTAGTTCTCGGAGTTGATCACAATTTGTAGGCTTCTGCTTGTCCACTCGCCTTTTGAGGACTGACCACAGGTTCTCTATGGGATTGAGATCCGGGGAGTTGCCTGGCCATGGATCCAAAATGTCAATGTAATGATCTTCGAGCCACTTCTTTATCACTCTTGCTTTGTGACATAGTGCTCCATCATGCTGGAAAATGCACAGATCATCACCAAATTGCTCATGGGGGCGTGGGGACTCTGTTTTCTCAGAATACAAAAGCCTGATTTGTTAACGCTTGTACAGCTGCACAAACAAAACGGAAGAGCCGACTGCCTATATAAGTTGGCGCTTAGTGCCATTTCATCAGAATCTTTCGACTGATAAGTGATAGCGTTGACTCACATAAAGCTGTATAGCACAGCTGGGCACAGAAAAACAGTAAGACTCAGGCCATGAGGACAGAGTCCTCAGAAAAGATAGTACAGACCTCTAGCAGGGTGCAGGAAAACTAAGCAGGCAAAGACCAGCTGGCTGCTTTAGAGCGGCATCTGAAGCTCACAAAGAGCTGCTCTGATTGCTGATAGTGGCTAGAGCAGTCTATACAGTACATATTTCCCGAGGGACCGGGCAAAGTAAGTTAGCACCCTGCTTATTCTCTGCGGCGGGGAGAACTAATAATGACCTGTGCTCTGAACAGAGTAGAGAGCACTTTAGGCCCAAACCCCAGACAGGAAGTGCTCGCTGAAAACGCATGAAGGGCACCCACTTGCTTGTCTGATGCTAAAGCTAGCAGCAGGGCGGTCTTAAGTGACAGGGGCCACAAGTCAGAGCACCTTGAAGGGCCCTGAGGACTGTGGACAGATCCCAGGTCGGAACGGTATGAGGGCGAGGCGGGTTCAGTCTCCTGGCTCGTTTCTGCCTACAGACTGGCCGGCCATGAGAGCGTGATTCGCCATGATGGCCACCACATATACTTTAAGCATGGAAGGGTACACCTCTTATCCAGCAGCTCCTGTAAAAAGGACAGAATGGACAATACATTACAAGAGGACGGGTCTTCGTCCTGGATTCAGAGAATACAGACTACTTGAGGGCACAGAGGCGTCTTGTAGACGGGGCTCTAGCCTCTGATATAGTGTTGGCTACCCTCACTGGGAGCTGAGGGGCCACAGATGGAGGCTCTACAACTCGGATTGGGGGTGCCAAAGTGATCCTCTCGCCTGGGTGAGGCGCCTCACCATCTTGTATAGGGGCCACAACCTGAGACCGCCTTGGCAGTTTATGAAGGCCACCACTTCCAATAACACAATGCTCCAACACCAGGTCTGTACCAGGGGTTGGGAGGCATATATGAATCATTCTACAGAAGTGGTGCAACAGCCCATCGTATTAGGGGAATGCAAAAACTGCTGTTTTTCAGCAGCACATTATGTGTCCGCAACTGGAAATGCATTTTACTACCTCAACACATTCCATCCCGCCATTTACATTCAGCAAAAGGGCAGCTGAGAATCTCATGCACACACTTTCCAATTCTGTAAACTGAAGCCTGTTTCGGATTGGCCAGCAAAGAGTTACAGACAGAGAAACGTGCCTGTGAAATTCATGAAAACTCTGGCTTGAAGACAAAAAAGCTGTACCAGATTGGTCATAGGAACATCATCTCCATTAAACAGGTTAAAAAGGACATTAAACAGGTCAGTGTGTGTAGTGACAATGGGAGGGGTGGGTCACTAAAGCTTTAATGTACAGATGAGCCCAGTAGGAAGGGAGGAACAAAGCATTCCTCTTCTCCTCTCAAACATCTGATGGAAAGTGAACTCCTGATGAAGTGGGTGCTTCCCTGAACATCAGACCCTGTGTCACCAGCATACCAGATGCAGACACTTCCTTTGAGCAGCTGGATCTCAAATTACCTTTAGGCTCTTCAAAATACCAGAGGAGGACATCAAAACAAATGTTGCTCCATCTTGAGCTTTGAACATCATTACAATGCTTTTCTTAAGCTGACGCCGACCAAATCATGCCTTAACCACACCTGAGAAGTGTCCTGCATTTGTGATTTTCTGTAGATGCTGCATTCCAAATTTGACTTCTGAGACAAAGTGGATTTAGAAAATTAGCCAATTTTGGAAGCGGGAAAGTGAGTGTGTTTCTTGGTACCATCACACAGGTATCAATCACATGAATGTCATGTTGTTGTCCCAAGTTTATTTTATTTTATTTTTTTAAATGTTCTTTCCAGATTGTTGATAATCAACAAGCTCGACACAGTAAGTTGTGCTGGACCAAACAAATTTTACATCCCATCCATCAGATATGAGAGAGAAAGTTTGGTACTAAGTTGATGATATAAAACCCATTATCCCAGAGCTACAAACCTGCCACATCCTCAGCTTGACATTGCTGTGTGTCACCTGAGATCTGGGCAATGTACAATAAACAAACATAGCAGGGGGCATTGGGGTGGTGAGGACTAGACTGTGATGGTTGCAGTGGCCATGTGTACCCTATGGAGGGCCATCTAATCCCCTGGACCGCAGTTACTGTAACTGATTTTCTATACAAGATACAACCAGTCAACATTAATCAGAAAAATAGTACCTATATGCACTACCAGTCAAAAAAAAAAAATAAATAAATAAAATTATACTGACTCCAAGCTTTTGAACTGAATAGTGTATTATGTTGCAAAAGGTTTTTTGTTTTTTTTTTTCAGATAAATGCTGATCTTTGGATCTTTCTATTCATCAAAGATTCCTGAAAAAAAATGGATAAAAAAAAAATAATTACATTTTTTTTTTTAAATCTAGATTTCTGAAGGATCATGTGACACTGAAGACTGGAGAAATGATGCTGAAAATTCAGCTTTGCATCACAGGAATACA